TTATACTAAGCGAAAGGGTGGCACCTTCAAAATGTAAGCAGAATGGTGGCGCTCTTTACTAGTTAGATAACAGGTGGTTTAGCGAAAGTTTTATTCCCGTTCATTAGGAACGTTTTGTTACGAGTGACCAGAAGGCGGTCACGCCCAAAAAAGCGTGAACGAAAGAAAAGAAAGAGAGGGAGGTGAGAGGTTTTGGCATGTGCCAGAACGCTCAGCAATAGTATGCATGTAGTTAAGAATTGCTGTAAGCTTGTGCCGTGAACGAAGCATTGCCTCTCCTGTTCTGACCTGGACCAGGTCAGCCATGTATAGGCCTTGTAAAATTCAATTGGGCGTCTTGCTTTAAACAACAACGCGCGCAGCGGCTGGAGACGTGGAGTCCCGACGCGATATAGGCTAATGAAAAGGAAGAGCGACCTCCTTCAGACGTATTTTCATAACCTTTGAAAGCAGTTTTGGCTAAAATAGTGGAATTCTGGAAACAACATGAATGTTGACCGAAAAATTCATGAGCGAAAGAGACTGCATGTAGTGCCCCGCGACACTTGCCCGTGTTGGTGCTCAAGGCATGGCGCGAGCAGATTTTACAGGGCTGTATTAACATAGTGAAGCGAGTGAGCATGTCTACGAGGACAGCTAGCATGTCTAACACCTTGACGACAACGCAAATCTTCGGCTGTTTGCCTCCTGGGACCAAGACCTTTTACGAACCAGTCAGCATTTTTTAGATAAAATCACGCATACTGCCATTTACAGTATACCTATAGCTGTGAAAGGTGCTTGCATAAAAGCATCGCCACTTGTAATGACGGCCTACAGGTTGTTTTGCGTGCTTTTGTGTTGTTTCTGTAGAAATCGATCATTCGAATAAAACATTCGAATACATTCGCTTTCGAATTCGAAATTCGAAGTTTTTTCCATTTTCGAGTAATATTCGAAACTCGAATAATTGGGGAAACAGGGTTTCGAATAAAACTCAAAAACTCGAATAATCAAAAAACGGTGTTTCAAATAGATTTAATTCGAATGTTTCATTCGAATTTTGACTCGAAATCGTATTCGAATGCACTCTGTGTTCAGATTATTCGAGTTTGTTGCAGAGCCAATGCTGAGTATTAAGCTCGCTTCGTCTGCGTTTTTTCGCAAAACTCTGTAATGCATTTTTTTTGAAATCGTGATGACCTTTGAACTGTATAGAAACTCGCATTCCTCCGACTGCTTCTACGATAAAAAAAAGTAGTAACATTCAATTGATGCTTTTTCGATCAATGAAGTACGCACTGCTATCGGCACCGAATCAGCAAAAAAACAGCTACGAAATTCAAGCTCATGTTCCGAGTTTACATACTTGAAATGTGTTGACATGCCTGTTTCTCTTTCTTTGCACTGCTCATGCTTTTGGTACGCAAAGGTCCACACTAGTAGCACTCTTTCTTGTAAAACTCATATTGCACAATTGCCTCTATTCCTTACCTTAGAGATTTTTCGCGAATTGGTGTATTGAGTAAAGGAAATCGCAGCTATAGTGGAGCATTAGACGGTTGCTGAAGCAGATATATCATCTTGCAATAAAGCAGGCTCAGTAGATAATAACAGTTCTCTTATTAAGTTTTATTCGATCGATGTTATCGATTTTTGCGGAAATTCATGCTTTGAGGCTGAGAATTGGTATAGGAGGAGGGGGGGGGGTTAATAGGGTGCTGATTTAAAATAAAATCTATTTTATCGATTTCACCGTTGGAAAATTTTGAGCTAGGAGTTGGTAAGGGGTTATGAGGGTGCGCATTATGATTGGATCGGCTTTAGAGGAATATGTCAGCAGTTTTAGATCTGGTTGCTCTATATGTCGACAAATTATTGAAATATTGGCCCGTAGTAAAGCTCGATCAGTTCAAATGAACTGAACTATATTCACTTACATGATCTTAAAATGAAACGTCTCAGTTAACCTCTGCAGGCCCTTGTTCATGTACTTACCAAGTTCTGTTGCAAACGAGCTCCATTCACACAAGTTTGTCATAATTTCTCGTACCTTGTTTTCATTAGCCTCTCTTTGTTTGCTTAGGAAATTTCATGCCATATCGTTACACATTCGTTACAAATAGCATCGCATGAGCGACATCGCGTGTGCGGCAATTAACGACGCGCGGTTCGCGCATGCAAACTCCAGTTCGCCTGTTAGGCACGTAATGTGTGATTTATGAGGAAAGGCTAAGCCGTGCCCTTATAGGTATCACCTTTCCTGGGACTTCGCCTGGACCTCGTAAAACGATATCCTCCAGCTTGTCATTTGCACTCCTCGTGCCGGGCCTAACACAAACTCGTCGCGTCAAAATTTCTCTCTGGAAGCCATTAGACTACAAAGTAAGACCCATTGTAAGCAGCTGCGATAACCCAGATAATACAGTCTTATGGCCATTAAACTTGATCTAAACACATCTACTAAAATATGTGCCTGTCCATCTTTCGAATACTAGAATGCTTTTGGAGCAGCTCATTACAATGCAGCTCAATGGAGGATGTGCGATTGAGACCTTTGATGTCACTTGTTGTACGCAAATGTCTCTGATGATGCTATGATTCGGAACATCAATTTGCTGTGAACATGTATGGGTTCAGTGTTGGGCAAGCATGACACTTTTAAAAGAATGCTTGAATTGCAGCATATTCCACTGGTCAAGAGCATTACAAGCACGTACACAGACAATCGCTGGGGGCAGGCGGGCACCGGAAAAATAGGTTGCTGATTTCTCGCATCCCGCTCGCGGATTTTTTGGAAAGCAATCAGGACTTTTCGGAAGACCGCTCGCTGAGTCAGCGGATTTTTGAGAGACCGCCTGTTGAATTTTTTTCGCTCTTATCTTTTGCAGCTATATTGCTGAATCTCTGAGGAATCGATTGAGGAACCACATACTCAACAAGCGGTCTTCCGAGAAGTCCTGATTGCTTTCCAAAAAATCCGCGAGCGGGGTGCGAGAGATCAGCAATCTATTTCCGATGCCCGCCTGCCCCCGGCGATTGTCTGAGTATGTGGCCTAACGATAGGCCAAAGGTTGGCTCCCGTCTTCGCAATCACCTTCATGTCAAAAATCGAGACGTACTTGCTCACAAGCCCTTGCTCTCGATACATTGACGACCGCTGCATCATATGTCCAACTCAAACTGATATAGACATTTGCTTTGACATTCTGGATAGCCAATCCCCTAACATAATATTCAAGTGGGATATACCAGACGAAAATTGGCTGGCATTTCTAAACGTCCAAGTGTCTTTACTTTACGGATCATAAGTAACTAAGTGGTTTCGCAAACAATCTAGTAAGAATAGAATAATTCACTACCGCTGTGCGCACCCTTGTAACATGATGATAGCCAACATTTTCAAGCAGCAAAATAATTTTATTTAACGTTGAACAGCGTAATGCATCGATGAACTTGCCAAACAAATTGCGTATTCTAATGGCTATCCCGCAAAAGGTGCATCAATGCATACCTGTAGGCAAAAAAGCAGACCGAACGAAGTAAACCAGACAACATAGAAAATCTTTGTTCTAAGCGGGCCTCGATGATGACGTCAAAGTTCTATTAGGTTGGTGCAAAAGAAATGGCCGATTTTCCAAGCCTTTTTTCAGGGCAACTTTTCCCCATCAATTCTTCTTCTTTACAATAAAGGTAGTATACCACCGCGATGCTGTTTTCATGCTCTATCTAACGGTGCTTAAAACGGGCTCTCATCATCATTTTTTGTTTACTGAGCTTGAAATAACCGCACCCAAATTCAGAATTTAATTGCATTCACTTTTCCGGCCAGAATTTAAACGCGTATCAATGGGATTTCTTCGAAAATTTAGCTCTTGTATCTAATATAAATTGTCTACATTATGTGTACCTAACTGCATTCTTTGAAGTTATCCAGACTGAGATATCGGCGCCCAAACATGAGTAGCTGTTGCGGTCATTTTAAGACCCATAATTTCCTTCTGAGGAAGTCATCGCCGAAGCTTTGCTCACTTCTATAAGCGTAGGGCTAGAACACTTATTAACAGTTTTTGCAAAAACATTCAGCTGTTCAGTACGTAGAAAATCAGAAAATTCTATATTCCGGACTTTGAGGCACAATGAAAAAATGTTGAAAAAACTGAGAAATTTTAAATTTCAATTTTTCTCTTTTTCGCAAACGTTTTTGTCCGAACTCTTTTTATTGCATTTTGTACTACTGGCTTGTGGCTACGATGAAGCACTTATCATTTATACTAAAAAACTTTGAAGGAATTTATGAATTGTCAAAAACAAGGTTCTAGCAGAAGAACCTTCTTTGTCTTTTAGTCCGTATTTCTCTTCCCTTTTATGGTTTGAGTATGAATAAGTATGCGCTGTATTGCGAAATGCGGTGACCAATACATAGGAGAGACCGGCAGACCCTTGTGCACAAGAAACAAAGAGCATCTTGACGACCGAAATATCCAAAAGGTCACACCTTTGGGTGTACATCAAACGTTATGTGAGAATCAGTACATTTGGGTCACTGTTATGATCTGGCCGCACAAATCCAAGTTAGTTGCCCGCAGAACGTTGGAGGCCTTTTAAATAACGTCTAAAGCTCCAAAAATGAACCTCAAAGATGAAGGTATTGCCATGAACAGTGAACCTCTCCTATCAAACACTATGTGGATTCTGATGCGAGATCTTCTATAACCATATAAAATCTGACACTGACTATCATACTCACTCATAGCGCAGCTGCAGTGCAGTAGTGGTTCTTCGGTCTCTATATCCCGATCTGGCAAGGCTGAAGTTAGGCTTTCAGCATCTATTCTGCCACTCCATCACATCTGTGAACTAAATCTGTCGCCGAACAAGGCTTTTGAGCGGGCGGTTCTCAAAGTCTCCATCTTTCGGGAAGCCCTGATAAAGGCGGACGGACACCGAAACGTTGGCTTTCGTGTAATAAAATCTTGCTATCAATCTTAGTTGATAGAAACTGTATTACAACATGAATCACAATGCCAAGGTTTATCGACAATCGAGCACGACATATTAATGCCTTCGGAGTGGTATAACTATCGGATGACTGATGATTTCCTGAGGTTTACATTTAATAAGCTTATGCTCCCTTTCGAGAAATTCTTTGATTCCGCATTCACCAACGTCCACAGCAGAGAGAATCTGTAAGCAATAAAGTACCGTACAGCCAGTAAGTCTAAGGAGTAAAATGGCAAACTAAATCATGTCTCGCTTAGTCAACGTACCAATAATATAGCAAGTAAGAAGAAGACATGGTTGAAAAATCTCATTATGGCCGAATGACGTAAACTCTCTGGAAAAAATATTCTGAGAAAGTAAGCGGTAAATTGAGCGGTAGATAAAACGACGAACGAACGGAGCTTCTTTGACACAACTTGACTTGACAGAGAAACAAATGTTTGTGCAAGGGAAATTACGAGATTACAATAACCTTGATTTCTCTGCTATGTAATTCCTGGGCATTTGTAAGAGACATTGTCGCAGATTATGTCAAAAATAAAACCTCACGAACTCAGATAATCGCCGAAGGTAGGCAACCATCGATTCATGGGGCGGGCACCGCAAAGATAGTTCGCTGATTTCTCGCGGTCCGTAGATAATTAGAAGAATGTTTTGGAAATTTTAGACGAATGCTCGGAGAACAATTGCGGCGGCGCAGTAGCCGTACTCTCGCCCTTCCGCGAGATGTGCAAAATTATTGGGGGCCGCACGATCTTTTATGAAAGACCGCACAGCCGTAGGTACCTTCCGTTGTGAGAAAGTACTCCAAACTCGAGTAATTGAAACATCGATGACACCTCTGTTATGTAAAGTGTTACCTTTGCTCAGCGTAAGCCCGAAACTGCGTAAAAAGAGTCCGAGCGCCTGCTGAAAGTTTGGCACGCGCTCGCTGAGAAAGATTATTTGACGAGCGCTTGCAGAAAATTTTGTATTGCTGCCTGCTGACAGAATACAAAAGTACCGCTCGCGGAAGGTTTGGCCACGCCCCAAAATTTTGCTGACCGCTTGCAGAAAAGAGTTTGCGGATCGCCTGCCCCGGCGATTATCTGAGAAGTTGTGCGCAATATACACAACACTGTCTTCACTAAAGCTTGCTATTCCACGGATACTGTCCCAAAAATTGTGCAGACAGTTTAATCTTAGCTCACTAGCTTTCATGTTCGCCGAATTTTGGGCATTATTCTGTAGAAAGCTGGCTTCAAACTGGACCTATTGTCGAGCGAATTTCCGATCGCTCTTCATTAGTGCAGAATAACGGTAAGAACTTCAACAAGGATTCTAGCATATGGAAAACAATATTTTACCGCGAAAAATAAACGAAACAAGTCAAAACCACTAGATTATACAAAGTCGCAGTGATTAATCTGGTGTAAAAGCTTTTGACTTGTTAAGCACTTCACGATTAAGCTTGTTTTGTAAGTAGTATTTTCCCATAACAGTTGTCTTTCCAATTTAGAATGTGATCTTTTTGTTATGACCCTCGAAGTCTTACCATGTATAAAAATGGTGAAAGGCTTATAGGAGTCAGCGGTGTATAAAAAATAGAAAAATTTCTTCAGCTACGGCTAGCATATATGCAGCATTTTCTCGTAAGAAGATTTTTAGAACTGGAGGTGATATGGAAAGTTAGCACATTAAAATTAGCACATTTTCTAGGTTTAAAATTATGGAGTACTGAGAGCTGTAGAGTGGAAATGTTTTGGAAGGTTTTTATGCTAGATAGATGAGCAGTTGAGAGAGGTTTCTGACGCTGTCCCATAACTAGCTGGACTATTTTAGAGTTGCACATACTCATCGAAGATCATCGTCAAAAAGGGCAGGGCCAGGGTCTAGCGTGTATGACACGCCACAACGGGATCGCATAAGGTGTCAAAAAGGGAAGAGGAGTTGTAATTATGTAATAGTGATAATAGTGATAACATCTTATCGTAAGCGAAAAATGGAGAAAATGAAATTTTTATTGGTCTCTGCTCTACTTCGCAGTTTGGAAGCTTTTGAAGCGGGATTTCTAAGGTAAGCAAAGAAAGGGTAGTGCTTTGAATTGAGTGCTGAAAGAGGTATTAACTTCACTTTGCAACAAACTTCATCATTTCCGACAATGACCATTTCACCCACCCAGTGTTTGCAAACTTCAGGAGTCGCACAAACTTGGTCCAAAAGAGTTTTTGGACATGCTAATTATGGATACATTACTCGTTATGCTTGGTAGGGCCTTCAGGTTGTTCCTATCTTAGGTGTGCAGTAGTCCTGGAGGGTCTTATTGAGACAATACTAGGAGGTGGGGTCGTTTGAAGCGATTAAGTGCCACGCTTTAATTGATTCTAGGCAGGGTAATAAGTCTTTGCAAGTGTTACCCCGCCAGCCTTTTGGAAATGAGAGAGCAGGTTGGCTGTGCACACTGATGCTGTAGTTTCAGTAAAAGAAAGCCTTTTGAGGTTAAATCGTGTCTCAAAGGGATATATAGGATAGCAGGAAACGGAAACACCAGAAACGCAGTCGAGAAACGAAAATGACACATACAAAGTGGTGGCTAGAAATTGTTGGAATTCGGTATATATATTCGCTATATAGCTACCTTTTTAGCAGTGGAAACCCTTATTAACTTTGGATTGCAGTAATACGCAGTAGCTTTGGTGAGACTTGGCAGGAGAATTGAAGGAAAGTGGGATAGCGTTTTGGAGGCCATTTATCAAGACCAGCAATGCAAGGCGAGCAGATAATCTTGGCGATGCTACTTCTCGCCTAAACGGTGAGGAATCCAAGACTGCATATAGTACACGGAAATTCGATTTGTTTTGATTCCTCCAATTTTCCCTTTTGATAAATTCTCCAGTTTCATGAGGGTCGAGATATAGCTACCTTTTTAGCAGTGGAAACCTTTATTGACTTCGGATTCCTTGACTCACACCACCTGAAAAGAGCGTGAGAACACCTCCGGACGTTTGCAAGAGTGTGCTGAACACGTTGACGCTAAAGAGCGGTATTTACCAATCTCCAACTCGCTGTTCGGGGCTAATATTAACAAGTGCCCAAACAGGCGAAAGCGCCAGTTGGCGAAAGCGCCGCCCGACCTGTCGACATTGGGCAGCAGAGCCCAATGTCGACAGGTCGGGCTCCGCTGTTCAACTGCCGTGCCCGACATGGCCAAACTTGCCAGATCGGACCAGATTCGCCAATAAACAGGAGTCCTACCAGCTTGGCTTCGAGCATCGCGGGCGCCAGTGCCCGCGCCTTTACGGGCTGTTACCTGTACAGGAACCCCTTCCTACTATACAGGAGACTGATAAATACCGCCCCTGGTGTCGTTGCCTTCCCGGCGTACGTTGGGCGAAGCGTTTGCAGACACCCGAACGCGTTGATGACTTATCAGAACTTTACTGCAAAGCACGGTTCTTTGTACTCTTCAAATTGCCACGTATATATGCTGTTGGTACGTGGCAGTGTTGGTAGCGAGAGATTACAAATAACAACTTGCAGTAGAGGATGAACAGTTCACCAACGTGTTCAGATATCTGCAAATGTCTTTGCCCAACGTACACCGAGGACGAGACGATAACAAGATTGACTGTAGTGTGCTGTGAAAATGCGAGGGTGAATAAAAAACTGTTTAACTAATTCAATATTTATGAGCATTTGACATCTTTCAACTAAATGACTCACTCCTCTGTATTGCGATGGCTGAAATATCTTGTTAAGATGCGGATACCTTCGGTAAAATCTAAATAACTGAGTTGGTTTCGCAGGTATGGTACTACGTTCGCCATTTTCTTCAATTCACGAGAAACTATGTAAGTTGCAAAAACCATTTAAAGTGAGATATACATGCCAAACTGTATGATATCCTAATCTCAAGCCCGATATTCGTAAAGCGCTTCCATGAAATTATTGGGTTGGCCCAAAAATATGTTAGCACCATTTTAAAAAATTTATAGCCATCACATTCCAAAGCAATTTCTTTCCCGAAATTTTGAACTTGTCTTAAAAACATAATCATGCGCTTTACAAAAGCACTTGAGACTTTCTCACAAACACAACAGTGCTAGAGATATACGAACAGGATTTATAGGGTTGCCATAAATGTGAACCAGTGCCCGGACGAAGGTGGCAAATAGCCCTCTGCGAAGCGATTACGCCTTTGCCGCTTTAATTTCATGATTTTCCCCTTGATCGCACCGGTAACTGATCAAACTGAGTTTTCTCAAAAGCCAAGATTCGTTTGTTATTTCGGACTCTAGCAGGAGAAGAGAAGTTGAAAAGGAAGTCACTCCAATGATCACTCACTCAGATAATCGCCGGGGGCAGGCGGTCCGCAATTTTGCGCTTTTCTGCAAGTGGTCAGCAAAATTTTGGAGCGCGACCAAGCCTTCAGCGGGCGGGACTTCCTTTACGGTCGCATATTCTGCCGGCGAGCAGCAATATAGTATTTTCTGCAAGCGCTGGGCAAACAATTTCTTTCAGCGAGCACTGGCCAAACTTTCAGCAAGCGCTCAGACTTTTTTACGCAGTTTCGGGCGTACTCCGAGCAAAGGCGAGACTCTATGTGGCAAAGGTGTCATCGATGGCTCAAGTACTTGAGTTACGTTCTTTCAGCGAAAGGTACCCGGGGCGCGGTCCTTCACAGACGACCGTGCGGCCCCCAACAATTTTGCATATTCTCGCGAAAATTCCGCGAGAATGCGGCGGGGACTGAGGCGCAACATCTCAGACAATCGCCGGGGGCAGGCGGGCACCGGAAAAATAGATTGCTGATCTCTCGCACCCCGCTCGCGGATTTTTTGAAAAGCAATCAGGACTTTTCGGGATGCCGCTTGCTGATTTCTCGATTTCTCAGAGATTCAGCAATATATCTGCAAAAGATAAGAGCGAAAAAAATTCAACAGGCGGTCTCTCAAAAATCCGCTGACTCAGCGAGCGGTCTTCCGAAAAGTCCTGATTGCTTTGCAAAAAATCCTCGAGCGGGGTGCGAGAAATCAGCAATCTATTTTTCCGGTGCCCGCCTGCCCCCAGCGATTGTCTGAGATAGGCATGGAAAGACCGCGGTATTGCTCCAAACGTTCGTCTAAAAATTGGCCAAAATTATTTCAAATTTCTGCAAGCGGACCGCAATAAATCAGCGAACTATTTTTCCGGTGTCCGCTTGCTCAAAATTCGCAAGGCTGCCTGCCCCGGCGATTACCTTTACAAGTGTCAATTCTGGCGTTACATACACGAAATTTTGTACTACAATCTGCAAGCTCTCAAAGTATTTACCTCGACTCTCATGAAGCGAAGCGCCTTGCTCACTAGAGGATCGTAATGTTCAACGGGAGTTCACCTGTGCTGGCCAAGAAGCGAAGGAGTAGGAGTGTGAAAAATTTTTTTAATGAACTCTGGAATTTATAATATAAATGCACCTCTTCAAATAAAGGCTGTACTACGATACTAGAAAAGTAAAAGTCAACACTTTTGTTTTGCCTATCCACATAATACATTTTCTCAGCATTGTATAAGCGGCTGCAAAGTAGGGTTATGTTATGTTGACTGTAATGGCTTCTGGCTGTAAAGGCTTACCCCCGTGCCCTCAATAGGATTATTTGCGGAAGGAAAGCCTTACAGCATTTGAAGCGAGAAATCGAGAGCGTATGACTGACATGGATACAATTTCCTTTTATACACTTATGAAGAAAGTCCTGTATCAGTCAAGTCATACGCGAGTACTTCTTTCAATCGCTTATATGTAATCAGCTTTGAAAAATTAGATAGAAAATCCGTTGGCGGTTACTTAACGAAAAACGCATGTTGATCCTTAAACCAACTCTGCAACTCGTGACTAAAGTGTGCCCGCTGCTTGTGACCAAGTGTGTCGAATGACAATTTTACGATGCTTTCGGAGCTTTCAGATGATTTTGCCAATGACGTAGAGGAAGTTTTTGTTATATCATACAACAATCATTAATTTACCCCAGTTGCATTGCCATTAACTGGATTTTGCAATGCTTGAAATCAAATGGTACTATTGTGAAAACGGTGCTCAAGATTATTTTTCAACCGAAAAGTTAGATGTCAAAAAGTCGTATGTTTTCCAAATAAAGAAGCGAAGATGCAAATACTTACCTCGCTCAAGGATTAATGAATGAACGCTCAAAATTCATTCCTTTCCACAATTCGCTGCTTTTTTGATAATGCTGTGAATTTATGTCTAAACATGTAAATCAAGTTCACGCTAAAATCATCGTACATGATGCTTGTTTTGAGCTAACACCAAAAACGGTAAAAATCTAGTTTTTTGCTTTACAAAAGCGGGTACTAGCCTCTTTTTGTACTCATAGTTTTCATTTCTTTATGGCCATTAGACCAGATGCGTTTCTGTACGCTTCATGATTCGGAACTCCATTCTGCTCATCTTCATCTGAATATAATATTCGGTTATGGCAGACGTTTCGTGAACGTCTTTTTTCTTCGGGCAAATTCTCAGCCGATTATGATTTCTGAAGTGAATCGTTGATTTGATGACAATATTTTTATCCAGAAGAGCTAAGTGGTGTTTTTCAGTGATGCAAAAAGTAATGACTAGATTATCTGTTCACGTCATTGGGAATCATTTACAGCAAGCTCCTTAGCGATTGCTGCTAGATGCACCGAAAATTTGCTTTAACGACGTCATAATCATTTTTGCTTCTTTACTGTACAGGACAAGGTATGGTGTGCTCCAACCCTTTGCTACCACTTTGAAAGGCAGTAATCACATTAATTGATAGTGCTCTTATAATCAGCTCCATGATCTCAATTTTCAAATGGAACAGTAAGCGCTAATTACTGCATCTCACACAAAAGATACAAGTTCTCAAAAATTGTGAAAGGCGATGTGCATTCTTTGCGGTAAATCCATGATATCAATGCAGTACTTCATATTTTTTCCAAATTTCAAAGGACGAGAGAGATTGTTTTTTGAATGTTCGTCTCTCCTATTCATAATACTTGCAAATTGTAAGAACCATCATAATTCGCATAACAAATTTCTTGATGTTTACGCTTGAATATAACATACTTAGCCGAAAATGCTACACCGTTCAGGCAGTGCGATATGACAAGTGAGAATGTGTCAAAATCTTGCTTTCAGTTTGAGAGTTATAAAGTCACAGCAGGGCAACATGAGGATCGTTTTTTTGCGAAAAATCTGAGCATTGTTGTAGCATACCACTTGTAAAAACATGACAGCTAAATTTCGTACCATAGGTGCGAAAAGGTGAGAATGACTTCTACAGGGTAAATGGGGTTACAGTGGTCGCAACCCCTCCAGGGTGAAGGGATTACAGTGGTGGCAGACCCTTCAGGGTGAAGGGTGTTTCACTTGATCGAGAAATTCTAGAATGTCGACCGAGGGGGAGGGAGGGGAAGGAAGTGATGGTGTTCTCTCATCATTCTCCCTAATCAACATCATTTTCAATTCTCTATCATCATTTGCTGTAATTTTTTTGAGGATTGAAGTAGGATTGGAAACATCCTGTCTGTTTTCGAAAATCCACAGAGTAGAAGATGTGTATGCAAGAATATCTGTTTCATAAAAGAGGGGACAATTTTTGAGCATCAAGTCTTTAAAAGTAAAAGTTTATAACTTCTATATATGAACAGCAACGTCAGCAAGGAAATTGTTTTCAGAACCATCTTTTCTTCCGCTTTGAGGAAATATATAGTTTGCCTGAGAGTTTGTCTGGAGTCATTCCAAAAAAGTGCCTGGCGAAGCTCGTGGGTAGCGATTTCAAAATATTTGAGAACTTTTGGATGAAAAAAATCTATAACTTCGGTAGATGAAGATCTTATACTCCGAGATGTTTGACATCGGAACCGCCTTGTCCTCCGCTTTCCGAGCGGAGAACAAGACGGTTATTATAGTAGGACTAGCTGGCTTACCCGGCTCCGCTGTATGTTCCGAATAGAAAATTCCATTTCTTAACCGATCCAGACCAAACTTGGCACACATACACTTCGGGCCCCGGTGGGTGTCACAGTCCACTTTTCGTTATCGATCGATATCGATTTTATCAATTTTTTGCAAAATTTGAGCTAGGGGGCTGAAATTTGGCAGAGGGGTGTAATCGAGCATGCTGATCACCCCCACGGGGGTGATCAGCATGCTCGATTACCCCCCTGTGCCAACTCCTAGCCACGTAGCTCGAATTTTGCAAAAAATCGATAAAATCGATATCGATCGATAACGAAAAGTGGACTGTGACACCCGCCGGGGCCCGATGTGTATGTGTGCCAAGTTTGGTCCGGATCGGTTCAGAAATGGAATTTTCTATTCGGAACATACGTACTGTACGGTCGGTGAGTCAGCGTGTGTGCGGTGTTGACTGTGATTGATCGGCTGCCACGCGGGACTTACGCACAGCGAGTGCACCTCAAACTTGGGTAATTAAACTTTATTATAAAAATACTAAATAACAATTACAAAACGGGTACGATAGTAACACACAGGAATATATGTTCAAGATGACAGACGGATATTCTGTGAATTGCTGTGAGGGGTTCCGTGAACTGAGACACTGTGCGGGATCCGTGACAGACTGTGAAAGAAGCAAGAAAAATGTGTACAATAAATAATACAAAGCATGACACAAAGGTAAAACAAGAAAGGGCAAATCAAACAAGATGAGACACATTATGTTCATTACGCTCTGTCACCTACTTTTATATGCGAGCGATTATAAACAAAATACCAGTATGCATGAGAATATTACAGATAAGCTAACAGCTAACAAAACAATAGATACGAGCCTGTGAGAAACTTTGCGCTTCTGTCGTTGTTAGTCATGCGAAATTCTTCGGGGGCAAATTACAATACGAACTTGGAGAGTTCGTATACTCCGGCCTCAGCAGACGAGTGGAGTAACACCGTTGATGGTGAAGTTGTCGTCGAGGTAGTCGTTGACTTTGACTTCCGTGTCGCTGCTCGTAGCTCTGCTTCTTTTTGGCGGATTCTTTCCTTGGTTGGCATTACATCGAGGTGCTTTGTATCCTTGCTTCTCAATCTCCCGTGGCGCATAAGTTGGCCGTCGTCGCGGTCCGGATCCAACAGCCTCCCCTGTGGCTTTCTGTGGTGCTTCTGGACTGTAGGAGCGGTTTTCCACCTGTAGGTTGATTTAGGTCGTACTGCATTTCCGAGCAGTAGGTTATTGCCTTTGTCCGGCGACTTCTTCAATCCTCCTTCTGTGTCGTATCGGGCTCGAATTTTCCGCTGCTGTTGTGAGCGCCATCGGGAGTTGGACTCTGCTTCCATGTCTGTGAGCGTCGTCCTGAATCCATCGAACGCCATGGCGAGCATTCCGAACGTGTAGTATAGCGTTTTCCTGATGCAGCGCATTACTCTCTCGTAAAACGCACCCTGCCACGGTGCGCAAAGAGTAGTCTGACACCATCCTTTTCGCCGTGCTACTTCGCTTTGGAATTGTGTTCTGTGTACCATGTTTCCTGTGGCGTTTCCGGAGATTTGCTCACTCGACAAAACCTTTGGTGCTTTGTCCGTGGTGATAATCCGCGTTACTCCTTTTCTTGCATGAGATCTCCGAACCTCTGTGCTGTTCATCAGTCGTTTCTGGGTTTGCCTCTGTCCGCTGCTCTGTTTCCCGTCAGAACCACTGTATCCCACATTGCTGTGCTTTGCTCGTTTCGCATTGCGTGTAGAATGATACGAATGGAGTTCGTATACTCCCGCCTCACCGAGAAGATTGCGACTGAGATGTTCCGGTTTTGTTTTGTCTCCTTTAAGGGTCGTTGTGATGCTTCTCCAGCTAATGCTGTCCTTTTGAGATTCCATTCCGGTTGCGAATCCTCCGAGGTGTTCACTTTGCTTCTTGAAGTTTTGCTTTCTTTTCTTCTCTTCCTTTTTCGACGTTTGTCTTGTACGAGCCGCTTCTTCTTGTGCGTTCTTGTGTTCCTGGTGAAAATTTTGTCGGCTAGCATCACTCCCGCTTCTCCTGTCCCGCGTCAAAACGGTATCGTAGCGCTGGCACATACTGTATACCCACTTTCGCAATTCCTGGTACTGCTGTTCAACCTCCTTCTTAAAGTCCATAAAGTCCTCCTGCAGTCTGTGGATCGTTCTTCCTCCAGTGTCTTTGCTCGTTCTGGTATCACTTGAAGAGAGAGAAGCCATTTCTGATCGCACATTAGCAGGCTTTACGGGTGCCTCTGTGGAAGCGAGGCTGACTGATGGGTGCGTATCCATATCGGGGCCTATACTGATGGACGAGATGTTCTTCTTCCTTGATGCTGCTGACTGTGCCTTTACTGCTTTCATAGCTTCGTTTTTAGAGGAGAAGTCCGATGCGATAGTAGTAGGCACCTTTTCCTTGAGCTGTACGACTGCCAGGGTTGCACTCTTCGTTGCTCCGTATGTCAGTATAGGAGTTTCTTCTCCAATCACTCCAGTTGCGTCCTTTACCATATTTGCTGCCGTTACCGGCTGTTTTTGCGTTTCCGCTGCTTCTTTGTAACTTTGACTTTCGGGTGAAATTTTGATCCATTTTCTTGATTTTTGTGGAGTATTCTCCATGCAGATAGCCGTGTGGTGCTTTTTGTGGCACTTTCTGCAACTGTTGCTAGGGCATGAAACAACTCTGTGGTTTTTCGACCCACAGTTGAGGCATCTGTTGGCTTCTAACAGAAATATTCTCTTTTGTATTGCTGTGGGTATTTGCGGGCAGGTCGTCCATTTGTGCCTTTTAGTTCCATAGCATTCGCAAGAGGCTTCAGCCTTCCAAGTTACTTTTGTTTCTTTTGGATAGGCTTTCAGCGAATAGCTTCGAGATTGCCCTTCGAAGGACAGCATGTGATTTAGCTGTTCTTCCTGTGAGATAATGTTATCGATGGCATCCAGCCATTGATTTAGAGTCCACTCGGATCCGTGTTCCTCTTGATGGCGTATTCTTTTTTCTATAGCAGCCTTCCTTATGCGTGCGTGGAATTTTTGCACAAAAATTTGTACTGTCAATTGATTATTGAGCTGCTGCTCATGCTCCTCTAACTGTGCTGCGATTGTTGACAGTTTGTCCCACAACTGTCGTTGTTCCGTTGTGGTTGGTCCCCTTGCTACACAATTGTGTAGGTTTTTGTTTAGTTCCAAGACTATGCCATCTTTGTTGCCGTACCTCTTGATAAGGTGTTGGATGGCCTTCTCGTAATTATTTGCTGAAACGAAGAACCGTGAAACTGATTGTTTCGCCTCCCCACTCAGGGAGGCCAGCAAATAATTGAACTTTTGAAGCTGTGACAAGTTTTGATCATGGACGTTAGCTTTGTACAAGGCCCAGAAGTTATCCCATTCCCATTTTCTTCCTGTGAATGTAGGGATTGGGATTACCGGGAGTCTACTGACTGCCGATGGGCTTGACCGGTCATCTGCCTCTATCCCGATGTCTTCTAAGGTCTCTTCTAGCTGTGTCCTGTGATCGTGCAGCTTCATTATCGTTGACTGGGTTTTTTCTATATACTTGTCCAAGTGATCTTCCTCCTCTTCTGTGGTCTCTGGAGCTTCATCAAAGGCCTTCGTTAGCTTTGTCAGTGATGTCTCGAGAAGCTCAATGTATCTCTCACAGGTTTTAATCCTCCTTGCACTTTCCTTGGCTTGTATGCCTGCGAGTGCTTGGGTGGAGTCCTGTAGCCAGTTTACCGCTGCATCGTTCCTTTTAGTAACGAGTCCTTTTAGTGATCTTACAGTACTGCTCATTGTTAGTTGGGTTAGTGATGTAAGATACTGTGATGGCTATGCGGAAACTGTGATTTTTCTGTGAGGGATCTGTGAAATCTGTGAGATAGCTGTGAGGTAAATTTCTCCGTGACTCGCTGTGCAAACTGTGCTGACTGTGAGGTGAGTAACGTGCAGCTTATTAGTTGGAAGCGTTACTCGTTAGCAAGAAATCGTACCTCAATTCGGCCGATGCACCACTTGTACGGTCGGTGAGTCAGCGTGTGTGCGGTGTTGACTGTGATTGATCGGCTGCCACGCGGGACTTACGCACAGCGAGTTCACCTCAAACTTGGGTAATTAAACTTTATTATAAAAATACTAAATAACAATTACAAAACGGGTACGATAGTAACACACAGGAATATATGTTCAAGATGACAGACGGATATTCTGTGAATTGCTGTGAGGGGTTCCGTGAACTGAGACACTGTGCGGGATCCGTGACAGACTGTGAAAGAAGCAAGAAAAATGTGTACAATAAATAATACAAAGCATGACACAAAGGTAAAACAAGAAAGGGCAAATCAAACAAGATGAGACACATTATGTTCATTACGCTCTGTCACCTACTTTTATATGCGAGCGATTATAAACAAAATACCAGTATGCATGAGAATATTACAGATAAGCTAACAGCTAACAAAACAATAGATACGAGCCTGTGAGAAACTTTGCGCTTCTGTCGTTGTTAGTCATGCGAAATTCTTCGGGGGCAAATTACAATACGAACTTGGAGAGTTCGTATACGTACACACAGACAGACAGACAGACAGACAGACATACAAAAAGACATTCAGCTTTCTATATAAGATAATTGAAACGCCATTTCAATTATCCTACTATAATAACGCGCTAAGAGTGTTTACGTGTTTTTGTCTGTCTGTCTGTCTGAATGTCTGTCTGTCACGAAATTCGTAGAGCGTGTTCCAGCCAACGTCCTGGGCTCAAATTTTGCATAGCACTTGCTACTGGCATGAAAGTCCAACATGCAAAAGCACAAGCAGATTCTCGAGTGGGTCTCTTGAAAATTGCGCGTCAAACGGATCCACTTTGCATTTGGCCCACAAAATTGGCTCCGTAATTCCACTTTTTGCAGAGTGGTGGGTGTTTATGGCAAGTAAATGTGCAAGCCATGAACTTAGGCCCAAATAAGTGACCAAAAGTCCATTACTTTACAAAAGCGGCGCCAAAAAGTATTGCTTGAGTAAATGGTCAATTTGCCAAGGTTCTAGAAAAGCATTTGAAAAGATTTTCGCACAGAGATGTAGCTCACGGTGATTATTGCCTTTATGGCGACTACCAAGCCATGACAAATTAAAAAAACCTATTCAAATTTGCCTTTGTCTTCCTGCGAAAAGTTTTTTCCATGCGAAATCACCGATCTCACGTGAAAAAGCTTTCTAAATGAGTAGTTGTTTACATTTCATTCGTGGTAGTCGGCATAGCACGGTGAGTTCCAGTGCCACGATTTTACGAGAATGAGTAAGGCACATAGATAGTAGAGCCGGTGCGAGCCTCTGCGAAGCAGACGTGACGCACTGGTTTAAAAGATAAACAAGTCACCACATTTTTATCCAGGTAAGTACCTTTCAAACCTCCCCCCCCTTTCAGTTCAAGTTTGGCCTTATATGTACCGCAAACATCTACACAGATGTTGCTAACCAGATATTTCTGAAGCTTTTATATGAGTCTGACCGAAATTTCAAAAAACGATATATCTGGTATGTGGCTCATTCTTCCCCTTTAAGCACAAAGACGCCGACATTGAAAGCTTTCGTTTATGAGTCACTTGAAAGGCACGAAAAATGACGTCTACTTGAGCACTCCCATTACAAAAGTTCACCCACCCACCCGGCATTTTTTAGCGGACCCCAAGCAAAATTTATATCTTCCGAAAGCGGAGGACGAGACGGTTTCAACAATGCTATTTCCTTGTACAAGTTGTACATCTACAGGAGTTAATTAAGATTTTTTTAATCTTTAGCTCTTAAATATCCAGAATTCACTCCCCTCATCCTTCACCAGGCACTTTTTTTCAAAGTCCAGGCAAAGTGTATACGCTCGGAAAGCGGAGGACAAGGCGGTTCCGATGTCAAACATCTCGGAGTATAAGATCTTCATCTACCGAAGTTATAGATTTTTTTCATCCAAAAGTTCTCAAATATTTTGAAATCGCTACCCACGAGCTTCGCCAGGCACTTTTTTGGAATGACTCCAGACAAACTCTCAGGCAAACTATATATTTCCTCAAAGCGGAAGAAAAGATGGTTCTGAAAACAATTTCCTTGCTGACGTTGCTGTTCATATATAGAAGTTATAAACATTTTCTTTTAAAGATTTGATGCTCAAAAATTGTCCCCTCTTTCATGAAACAGATATTCTTGCATACACATCTTCTACTCTGTGGATTTTCGAAAACAGACAGGATGTTTCCAATCCTACTTCAATCCTCAAAAAAATTACAGCAAATGATGATAGAGAATTGAAAATGATGTTGATTAGGGAGAATGATGAGAGAATACCATCACTTCCTTCCCCTCCCTCCCCCTCGGTCGACATTCTAGAATTTCTCGATCAAGTGAAACACCCTTCACCCTGAAGGGTCTGCCACCACTGTAATCCCCTTCACCTGGAGGGGTTGCGACCACTGTAACCCCATTTACCCTGTAGAAGTCATTCTCACCTTTTCGCACCTATGGTACGAAATTTAGCTGTCATGTTTTTACAAGTGGTATGCTACAACAATGCTCAGATTTTTCGCAAAAAAACGATCCTCATGTTGCCCTGCTGTGACTTTATAACTCTCAAACTGAAAGCAAGATTTTGACACATTCTCACTTGTCATATCGCACTGCCTGAACGGTGTAGCATTTTCGGCTAAGTATGTTATATTCAAGCGTAAACATCAAGAAATTTGTTATGCGAATTATGATGGTTCTTACAATTTGCAAGTATTATGAATAGGAGAGACGAACATTCAAAAAACAATCTCTCTCGTCCTTTGAAATTTGGAAAAAATATGAAGTACTGCATTGATATCATGGATTTACCGCAAAGAATGCACATCGCCTTTCACAATTTTTGAGAACTTGTATCTTTTGTGTGAGATGCAGTAATTAGCGCTTACTGTTCCATTTGAAAATTGAGATCATGGAGCTGATTATAAGAGCACTATCAATTAATGTGATTACTGCCTTTCAAAGTGGTAGCAAAGGGTTGGAGCACACCATACCTTGTCCTGTACAGTAAAGAAGCAAAAATGATTATGACGTCGTTAAAGCAAATTTTCGGTGCATCTAGCAGCAATCGCTAAGGAGCTTGCTGTAAATGATTCCCAATGACGTGAACAGATAATCTAGTCATTACTTTTTGCATCACTGAAAAACACCACTTAGCTCTTCTGGATAAAAATATTGTCATCAAATCAACGATTCACTTCAGAAATCATAATCGGCTGAGAATTTGCCCGAAGAAAAAAGACGTTCACGAAACGTCTGCCATAACCGAATATTATATTCAGATGAAGATGAGCAGAATGGAGTTCCGAATCA